ATTGGAATTATTTTGAAAAAAAAAAAATGAATTAAGCCGGGATTGAACCCGGGCCGCTGGCGTGCCAGTCGAGCACGTTACCGCTAGGACAACGCGCTCCTTTAAAAATATAATTTCATTAGTGGTATATCTTCAATGCATTGAATATTTTTTTTCATTTAAAATTTCACAAGATGTGGCTTCCCCCTTCCGCTCGTTTTACAGTCGGCTAAATTTCAGTTAAGCAAATAAAAAACAAAAAGCATTCACTCCGCAGAAAATAAAATTCACCCCGTTGACTTGAACACCCCCGCATGGGGTGTGGCACCCTCCCTCTCTTGGGGTGCAGTACTACGGTGCCGCTGGGGTCACTCAACCCCCAGAACTCTCCAAAATTTATCTAAATCTCCAATTTTTATATTTATTAGTGTCAGGAATATTATAATGATAATTATAATTATGATAAAACCCTCAGCAACAAAAAAAACGAGAAATTACAAAATCGACGAGAAATGGGATGACTTCATGATAATTACATGAATAATTAGTATATCATAAAATATGATGATTTTTCCTCAACGTCATTTGCACTAGAAATTATTTTATCATAATTATATTCTAATTAAAAATGAGTCCCGGTTTTTTTTGAAGATCTTTCAAAGCACATCACAGATTTTTTAATAAAAAAAAATCCTCCCGTCGAGATTTTTGATCGATCTAAAATATCCGCAGACCAAAATTCAAATTTTCTTCTATAAATCGGTATCGAAAATCGAGAAATATCAGATTTGAACATTAATATCGTGAAACATTGCTCCTATCTTATCGCCATGTCATACCCTCGCCGGTCATATATATTAATTAGTGGAAAAAGAAATGACGGAATTTAGTCGACTTCAGGAATTGTCCACACAGTCAAAGAAAAATTGACTACAGAAATAAATTCTTGAATTCTAGGAACGTTCAATTGTTATTCAATTCAATAGCAATTCTTCGACTAAAGTGGGAACTCGGTTATTTTAATTTCTGTGTGGAGAATAGAATTAAATATGAAGAGACTCTTGGTTTCTATTTCTCTTCTTTTACTGTGGACATGTTTAATACTAGCTGGACCACGAGTGAAAATCAGGAATGGAAGACTGGAAGGATCAATTATGAGATCAAGAAAAGGAAGAGACATCTTCGCATTCCGGGGAATTCCATACGCTCGTCCACCAGTAGGAGAGTTAAGATTTGAGGTAAAAAATATAATAAAAAAATTTTGAATTCTGATTTTCCCGATTTCTAGAGAATTTAAGATAAATAATTATACTTTCTCAAATACTTTTTTGTACCTCTCATCTTTTATTAACTCAGCTTTCATTAATTTAGCTACTGAATCGATTGATTTCTTCCTCGATTCGATATAATTTTCTCTGGAATTTATTTGATTGCAGCCACCACAGCCAGCGGCCTCCTGGAAAGGAATTCGTTCAGCTCAGGATGACGGAAACATCTGTCCCCAGCAGGAATACATGCACATCGCAGCCAGAATGATTGGTTCAGAGGATTGTCTCTATTTGAATGTCTTCACCCCAGAATTGCCTGGTGTTTCGAAAAAAAATATTTATCCTGTCCTGGTGTGGATCCACGGTGGAGGCTGGTTCGTTGGAAGTGGTTCGTCAAAACTCTACGGCCCTCAGTACCTTCTCGATTACGAAATCATTCTTGTGACTCTGAACTACCGGTAATATTCGAGCCATTAAGTTGATTCACATGCTAATTAATTAAATTAATTTGCAGACTGGGACCTCTGGGACTTCTCAGTACTGGAGATGATGTCATCCCAGGAAATTTCGCTTTCAAGGATCAAGTGCTGGCACTTCACTGGGTTCAAGAGAATATTGCAGCCTTTGGTGGTGATCCTGGGAGAGTGACAATTGCTGGTGACAGTGCTGGAGGGACGAGTGTGCATTATCTCATGTTGAGTCGACTTGCTAGAGGTATTTAATCCATCAGAATCTTTATTTATTGTTGATGACTTTATGGATTTATTATTTGAAATTCGAAGGACTCTTCCATCAGGCAATCGCCGAGAGTGGATCAGCTGTCAATAATTGGGCATACAATCCACCAAATCTTTCGAGGAATAAGACTCATCGTCTTGCTAAGGAACTCGGCTGTCCTGTCACTACATCCCAGAAAATCAGGGATTGTCTGAGCAAAATAAATGCCAGTGTAATTAATGGACAGACTGCCGGATGGCCGGTAATTATTGTCATCGTATTATTCCACTGAGTTCAATTCTTGATGGTCTCTTTTTGGTAGGTTATCAATGGATTTCCATTCCTTAAATTCCGTCCAGTCCTAGAATCCAACAAGTCTGGGGCTTTTTTGATAGATACAGCAGAGGAATTAATGAAGCATGGGGAGTTCTCCGATGTTCCCTGGTTGCTTGGTGTGAATGCTCAGGAAGGATCTATCTTCACAATCGGTTTGTACAGAATGGATAATTAATGGATATTCAATTTTAGAGTCGATGAATTGAATCATTATGAACTTCAGGGCTGTATTTATCACCTGATCAGAGAGAGCTTAAACGTTTCAACGACAATTTTTTCGATCTTGCGCCGATACTGCTCCAGTTGGATCCCGCCTGTCCGAAGGATGATCTGAAGACAATCTGTCAGAAGCTCCGTCATTATTACCTGAAAAATAAGATAATCGATGAATCCAATAGGAGATCTTTTATTGATGTACGTAATTTTTTGATGCATCAATCCTGCATGGAGAGAGTTTACGATGCCAAGTGAAAAATGAAAAAAATTTCTGGATCATCTTTAGAATTATATATTTATCGTAGATGATGTCCGATGGTCAAATTAAATTGGCGAGTGCCATGGCAGCGAAATTGTATCAAAAAATAGCTAAAAGTTCAGTTTACTTTTATCATTTTGAGTACGCCGGAAATGTATCATTCAGCCCGTCCGATCCGAAGAGACCACATGGAGCTTCCCATGGCGATGAAGTTCTGTATCTCTTTCCCCACGATGAGGGGTTACCTGAATTCGTCAGAAGTGAACGAGATTTTGAAATGGTTGATGTAATGACAACGTTGTGGACAAATTTTGTCATATCCGGGTGAGCCTGAAAACAAAAATCATCACAATTTCAAATGTCCCGGGATTTCAGGTAGGCATGGATTTTTATTTTCAGAAAACCTTACCTTGAGAATGCGCCTGAGTCATTCGTTGAATGGGCCCCGGTACAATCTGATGCCATCGAGACATTTATGATAGAGAGTCCCACGAGTTCTAGGATGTCACAATATTTTTTTAAAAATATGACCAACATATGGTCCAGTCTACCCTGTCGTGCTGGTTTTTTATATGCCAAGAGTGGCCTTCGCCCACAGTACGACCATAAATTATCAAATGCTCTATATCTATTATTAATTGCACTTACTTTCATGTATTACATGATTAATTAATGTAGCTAAGTGAAAATAAAATAAATAATTCACCACAATGATCGTTGATTTTCATTTATTATCCATTTTCTCAGTCCATCCCTTTTAAATTCCTGGGGATTTCCCGCCGTTATGACTGACATCTCTGATGCGGAAATCCCTCTGCTCTGAACAAAATCCTCGAGTATCGACGATCGGTCGATTTCTACGGTTTCTCGGATGAAAATGGTGTGAAGTTTGTCGAAATTGACTCCAACCCCGAAGAGAATTTCCTCGCAGGCACTCCCCTCTCCCTCCATTTGGCATAGTCTGCACCTTTGGAGCAATACCGAATAATACAACGCATTAATTTTAATATACGCACTCGTCCAAAGTGCTAATCCCCACCGAGACGTGAAAATAAAATTCGGAAAAAGTGATTAATCTGTCACAAAAATTCCCAGTGATTCAAAAACGCCGGAGAGTCATCCCCAAGTCACAACTACGATGATAACCACACACACGGATATTTGTTAAATGTGTTAAATTTGTTTTGATGGATGTGTGAAGTCGTGAGGGAGTCGTCCAGTTTAGTCGCTGAAGTGTTTGGTAGGATCATAAAATCATACTCCTACGTAGTCAGCTCTCTGTCTATTTTTCCTCACGTCACTATTTTCAACAACATCCTGCCCCCTCCTCACCCGCCGCTCTTCATTCCGGTCCTAATGAATATTCAGTTATTTTTTTTTACCATTGAAATATGTCTTCTCGACGTGGGGGCCAATGTACGCACAACTGTCACTTTTCATGCGCAATTTGTTGCTGATGGGGGCGAATTGATTGGAAAATTAACGAGTCCGTTGTGAGAGGATGTTATGAGAATTTTTGCTTTTTATTTTGCCAGGGAGACGCATTGAGGTGTATTGAAGTGGAGACGCAACGATGAGCGTCGTGGCGTCTGGTAGTCAACAAGTCGTGAAGGAAGGATGGCTGCAGAAGAGAGGTAATTAGTTGACAGTCGAATTTATTTGATTAATATTTATGAATAAATAATTCGGCTCTCTGGTGAGGCTGTTGATGTAGAAATTCAGGGGAACTCTGTATTTTTTTTTGTCAGGGGAACACATTAAGAACTGGAGATCGAGGTATTTTGTGCTGAGGGACGATGGCACTCTTGTGGGATTCAAATCTAAACCAGATCAACAAATGGCAGCTACAGCACAACCCCTTAATAATTTTACTGTCCGGGGGTGTCAGATAATGTCTGTCGATCGGCCAAAACCGTTTACTTTTGTTATCCGGGGTTTGCAGTGGACTACAGTGATCGAGAGGACTTTTCACGTGGAGACTGAGAAGGAGAGAGAGGACTGGGTAGCTGCCATCAGATATGTAGCTGACAGATTAGCTACCGAAGAGCAACATCTTCAGCAGCCCTCGATGCAGATATCATCCTCATCGGAAGATGTGGAAATGGAAACGACTGGGAGATCAGACTCAGGCAGTTCTCTTGGTATTATTTCACCTGATGGCGATGGGAGTATTGACGAGCTGTCAGCGAAATTCAGTGTCCAAGGTACATCGAGTAGTAAATCCAGTGGAAAGAAAAAAGTCACTCTAGAGAATTTTGAATTTTTGAAAGTCCTGGGTAAAGGCACTTTTGGAAAAGTCATTTTATGCCGTGAAAAAGCTACAGGTCATTTGTACGCCATCAAAATACTGAGGAAGGAGGTGATCATCAGGAAAGACGAGGTTGCCCACACATTGACGGAAAATCGAGTGCTACGTACAACCAGTCATCCTTTTTTAATATCTCTCAAATATAGTTTTCAAACGGCAGATCGATTGTGTTTTGTCATGGAATATGTCAACGGTGGAGAGTTGTTTTTCCATTTGAGTCGATCACGAGTATTCGGTGAGGACAGAACGAGATTCTATGGGGCTGAAATTATATCGGCTCTTGGGTATCTTCACTCCCAGGGAATTATTTATCGTGATCTCAAGCTGGAGAATTTGCTCCTCGATAAAGATGGGCACATTAAAATTGCTGACTTTGGACTGTGCAAGGAGGACATCACCTATGGTGAGATAAATCTCCATTTATTTCAATTTCTCAATTAGAATTACAAGAATTATTGTAATAAGATAATCCGGAATTTGTTTGTTGTAATAGGAAGAACAACGAAAACATTCTGTGGGACACCGGAGTATCTCGCACCGGAAGTGCTCGAGGATAACGATTATGGACGAGCTGTTGACTGGTGGGGTGTCGGTGTTGTTATGTACGAGATGATGTGCGGACGTCTTCCATTTTACAATCGTGATCACGAAAAATTATTCACACTTATTCTCCTGGAGGAGGTGAAATTCCCAAGGACTATCTCACATGAGGCGAAGGATCTGCTGGGTGGTCAGTAGCATTATCGATTGCCTCGATCAGTTTTATTATTTTCTGACAATATATCATATATCATATATATTGGATCAATTTCAGGACTATTGATCAAGGATCCAAGCAGGAGATTAGGTGGTGGACCGAACGACGCCAAGGACATAATGTGTCATGCATTTTTCTCCTCAATCGACTGGTCAGATCTAGTCCAGAAGAAGATAGCTCCACCCTTCAAGCCTCAAGTCACCTCTGAAACTGATACTCGATATTTCGACAGTGAATTTACAGGTGAAAGTGTTGAACTTACTCCCCCCGATCAAGGATGCTTAGGTAGTGCTGGTGGTTTGAATTCGATTGCCGAAGAGCAAGAACATTTCCCCCAATTTTCTTATCAAGAGAGTCATTCGGCTGCTACATCTTCCATTTCAGTGTCGATTATACACTGACATTGTCAGGATTGTTTCAGGATCAGAGAGAATGAGATAACGAACTCACGAGTGTCGCTATCGTTTGCATGTTTTATGGTTATTTAAAATCTATTCGGTTATCGAGGTGATTATGTTGTTGTATGTCCGTAATTATTGTATCTTGGTTGGGATGAATCAATTCGAAATTTAAGCGAATTATAATTGTAAAATAATGAATTTTGCGAGGGGCTGGATCGACAGCCACTCTCGTGCATTTTTTGTTTTCCTATTTTGTGGTATCAATTATCCATGTGTCGAGTGAAATTCGAGAGGATGGGCTGGATTATAACCATAGAAAATTGAATATATTATACACTACGATAATTATATTATAAATATATTTATATTTTAACAATTAAAGTAATTACACGGTAGATACTTGTCATTGATTTATTTTCCTTGTCTCACATTTAAAATAATATTCTTAATTTCATGTTTTATTTGTTCATGGATATGTTAATTGTTCGAAAATCTGTAGCGAAGGAATGGAGAGTCATCAAAATTTTTTTCAAGATATCTTTTGCAATATTCAGAGCTGCAAAAAATTATCCACAAAAATTTCGGTATCTCTCCTGAATTCAGAAATATTCTTCGAAGATTTACCTATTAATTTAATCCACCTATTACCCTTAAAATCCTTTTATCATCCGGGGTTAAGTTTCAAGGATACTGAGGGACAGGGGTGTCCTTGATCAGCCAAACCTCATCTAGCACAGCCCCAGCTTTATCGTCGGACACCTGAAAACGCATTTTAAAATCATTCCAAAAGCTTTTTGAAAGGAGGAAAAATTTTTTCTAGTGGCCAGAGTGGGTACCTGCTCCAAGTACAAATGTGTCTTGTTGAAGACTTTCATCCTGGTGTATCCGTAGTCAGAACTCCGGAAGGCAGACCAGTATGGCTGCTCCGGTATAAATTTCTCCCTGCCCTCTTTGCAACCTGCAGAACCTGTGACGATGTGCACAGGGGCTCTGTAATTCTTGTAGGGTTTCTCATAGCTCCCATTCATCACCTTGAAATTGTACATGGGGAAGAGCCTCTCGTAGCTGTGCTCGTGTGCCCACAGCTCCAGGTCCACCCGATGCTCGTAGAAGAGCTCTTCCAGGCCGAACCAATTCAGGAAGGGGAGACCTACCCTCACGAGGGACTCGTGATTTGTGCAATCGTCGGCATTTTTATTGCTGCAGTACATCGGACGATGGCCGAATGTCACGATCCAGGGCCTCTCAGCTCTTTTAAAATTTTTCGGTATTATTCATTTATACTGTTAATCAATTATTTTAATTTACCTTGCAGCAGGTTCGTTGGCTTTCGTCAGATCCTCTCTGAGCCACTCGAATTGCTTCACCAGCTGTTTAATTCCATAATTCATGAAATAATAAGCCTCGGTTTCAATGGCAATGAAGTGCACAGGACCCATGTCGAAGCTGTACCACAGCCCCTCGGAATTTCCAGGCATCGAGAATCTCGCCCTGTAATTACTGAAATTATATTTCTCCTCGTGGTTCCCTGGAACGGTCATGTATGGCAAGTAGGCAGCAATTCCCTCGATCTGCTTCATAAATTGATCTCCAACTCTGGAGTCATCGGTGTCCATGTCGTAGGCAAAATCCCCCACGTGAATTGCTGCGTCGTAGAGGCCCCGCTGCGTCTCCTCCTGGAGTCTCGAGAGACTCTGGGCGTTCTCGTTCCCCATGTCCCCAAATATCACGATCTGGGGGGTCCATGTCGGGGAATTCGATGGGGGTGTCACGTAGAAGACGTTCGACCAACCGAGTTTACTGCCGCAATGGTACACTAAACGTAAATTTAATTCTTTTAAATGTAAAATGGAATTCCCTTTTTTTTATCCATCAAAAATCCTACGAGGTTGTAAAATAAAAAAATATCAATTTCGGGAGGGACATTCTCACCGTATTTATGCCCTTGTGTGAGATCTCTCAAATAAACTCTGTGGATATATTGTCGTCGCTTTTGCTTCCCTCCATCAATGAACAATGTCGAGTTCCCTCTGGCAGTCAAAGCAAAGCCGCCGATCCCATATTCGACAATCGATTCTTTAGTGTCATCCCTCGTGCTCCAGGTCACCACAATATCACGAATATTCTCTGAAAAAAAAACATCCGAATCCACTCGTGCTCGCAAGAACTGCTTGTCAATTAAAATTTTATTAATTCATTGAAATATTACCTCCAAACGACAAATGCACAGCCTCAGGTTGATATTTAACGACCGACCCCCAAGCCGAGCTCAGACTCAACAAAAAAATAAGCACCAACAGCATTTTAGACGTAATTATAATCATTGAAGGACACAGAGATTAAATTCCTGGAACAGAGAGTGATTCATTTATTCTGATAACAGATCATTTTTTCATGACGAGTGCATCATACGAATACACAATGAATTTCATGAATTCCGGTGAATTCGTATGCAGAAATTAAATCCAATTGCGCCTCACCTTAATTAATATCACATATCACTCCACGGAGCACATGAATTTCGCGGTTTTTTTAATCTAGAGTATTTACATAACAAATTATTGTGGGTGTCAAAGAAACGTCAAGGATGACTCGACGCACAAGACGTTTGACACATTTGACACTAGGAGTTGAAGCTCCCGCTAACGGACATGCGCAGCTCAGTAGTTTTCAAATCATCCACTGGCAGCACATGATTTTTATTTATGTTTATTGCATTTATTGCTTCGAAATGGTGTGAGGTTAATGTCGGGTGGAATTGTTGTTGATCCAATTATTTACCGCGTGATTTTCACTCGGTAATTATTTCTCACTGGGGAATTAACGGATATTAAGGGGAGACCAGTGAAAAACGTAAAATGAGTGAAAACGAGTCGGTATATGGGACTACCCTGTCCCAGGAGTCCATGAAAGTCATCGCTGAGAGCATTGGAGTTGGAAATTTACCGGATGAAGCTGCCAAGGATCTTGCTGAGGATGCCAGCTATCGTTTGAAGGAGATTATTCAGGTATTCGATGATTATTCACTCGTTATTCGTCTTTTCGAGATAATTGAGGTGAAATTCATATTTTTGAGACGGAAAATTGAGGTGTGACGTGTTGTTTAGGATGCTGCAAAATTTATGAGGCACGGAAAACGTCAAAGACTTACCAGTCATGATATTGATCATGCCCTCAAGATCAAGAATATCGAGCCAACCTACGGATTTTTTGCCAGGGACCACATACCCTTCAGATTCGCCTCAGGAGGAGGTCGAGAGTTGCATTTCGTGGAGGAGAAGGAAATCGATCTCAATGAGATGATCTCAATGGCTGGTGGGACAACCTGGCCGAAATTACCCTTGGAGATCACCCTGAGGGCTCACTGGTTGTGCATCGATGGAGTCCAACCCACGATACCTGAAAATCCACCTCCAGTGTCGAAAGGTGAATATATAAAATAAATACTTCAACTCTCCCCTTTTTTCTCTACGATTTTTTTAATTTAATTTTTTTTTAATTTTCATTTTTTTTAATTTTCATTTTTTTTTTCTAGACGTACAGAAGCTGGAGAGTGTGGACCCAACGACAAAACTCGCCAACAAATCGGCAAATATGAGTGTTGGTAAGCCAGGAGGTGGTGGCAAGGGTCAGAAACTCCGGAATGTCGAGACGGTGCACGTGAAACAATTGGCCACCCACGAGTTGAGTGTTGAACAGCAATTGTATTACAAGGAGATCACAGAGGCCTGTGTGGGCTCTGACGAGGCCCGCAGGGCTGAGGCCCTCCAGTCCCTCTCTGCGGACCCTGGCCTCCACGAGATGCTCGCCAGAATGTGTACTTTCATAGCTGAGGGTGTGAGAGTCAATGTAGTGCAGAATAATCTCGCTTTGCTGATTTATCTCATGAGGATGGTGAAAGCTCTACTCGATAATCCCAGTCTTTACTTGGAAAAATATGTACGATTGATTATGATTAATTGAAATAAATTTTATTTGTTCATTTGTATGGAACTGACGAATTGGTTGAATTTTTCAGCTTCATGAGCTCATTCCATCAGTTGCCACCTGCATAGTATCTCGTCAACTCTGTATGCGACCTGAGATGGATAATCACTGGGCCCTACGAGACTTTGCATCGCGGTTGATGGGTCAGATCTGCAGGAACTTCAACACATCCACCAATAACGTCCAGACACGGATTACGAGAATGTTCAGTCAAGCATTAACGAAGAACAGTCAAGTGCGCTATTTAGTTATTATTATTTACCGTTAATATTGCTGATAATTTTTGGATTTGATCCTGAATTTTAGACTCCTCTGGCTTCCCTGTACGGTGCAATCAGTGGCCTCTGCGAGCTGGGACCTGAGGTGATAAAAGCCCTCGTGATACCTAAAATAAAAATAATATCCGAACGTGTCGAGGGATATGCAGACAGTGCAGCTCTCTCGAATATCGATAAAAATGCAGCTGGCCATATTAAATCTGGCCTCGTAAAGTCAGTGGCACCTGTACTGAAGACAATCAGATTAGCTCCAGATTTTATCGATGATTATAAACAGGATTATGGGTATCTGGGGCCTCCACTCTGCGCTGCTGTTGCCAAAGCGAGAACTCAACCCGTTGCTGTTGCCCAGTCACCCTCGACGAGCGCTGGATTACCAGCCAGTCAATCTCCATCGGCCAAAACTCTCGTTCAAAATGAAAATATTTCTGTTAGTCAGCCCACACAGCCGAGCCAACAGCGCACGATTGTTGTCAATACAGCGAGAAATCCTGGGGTAAATGCTCCTGGCACCGGTCACAAATTGGTTTTTGTACATCCTAGATCTCAGACTCCTACTGGAGCTCAACAGCAGCCACCGGTGACGTCTCAGTCTCAGGGACTTCCAAGTCCTCAGGTCAAAGTTGCACAGGCGAATATTCAACAGAAATCCCTGCAGACTGCTGCACAAAAATTGGTCGTTGTCTGCATGCCCAATAGCAGTCATACGAGTAGTACAACAATGTCTCAAGTAAAAACATCTTTTATTATTGAGAAATCATTGATATTATTTAATTGTAAAATAAAATGCTCAATTTACTCCTGAATTATTTTAATTTCAGGTGACAACGATAAGCAAAACTCAAAGTCTTTTTGTCATGCAGCAGAGTTCAGAAAGATCATTAAGCCCAGACGATGATCACCCATTTATACAGTACGAATGAATCACGATTTAACAAATTCATTGAGGAAGTGGCATTTATACAAAGAGGGAACCCAAATCTCAGGCAATTGTATTATCTCATCCAATTGAGTGGAATATAAATGGGTTATTTTCACCTTGATAATTATTTATCATTTATTATAATTCAATAATAAGACATAATACCTAAGGATCATTAATTTTTATCAATTAATGTTTCAAATTCGTAATTATTGAAGTAGTTAAATTAATTGGATGTTTCTGGTTACAAGTCAATACTCTGTGATATGTCACTGCGACGTCGATTTCTCTGGTGAAATGCTTGTTGATGGTAGCAGGCAGAGGCCATCTCCAGGAGTTTATTCGCCATCGCGCTGCCAGTTTCGTCGACCATTTTAGAAAATTGACTTGGGGGACTCTGGGTGAGCAGCTGATAGGGACTGGCATACTCCATCATTCGACCTCCCTCCATCACGACCACTCGATCACTGTCGATTATTGTGTTCAGGCGATGGGCTATCGTGATTACTGTGCAGTCGGAAAATTTTGTTCTGATCGTGTGCTGAATTAATTCGTCAGTGTAAGTGTCGATGTTGGCTGTTGCCTCATCTAGGACGAGAATTTTCGTATTCCTTAGAATAGCTCTCGCGAGGCAGATGAGTTGCCTCTGGCCAACGCTGAAGTTCGTTCCACCCTCGGTAACCATTTGGTCTAGGGTCACTCCTGTCAACTCCACCTCGTTCAGAACCCTCCACAGGGAGTCGTCTGGGTATTTCTCGAATGGATCCAGATTGTACCTGAATTAAAATTAAAATTATCTAAAGGAATTATAAATATCTGGAGAATTAACAGAGGCAGGGAAAAAACCTGAGACTCTCTGAAAAAAGGACTGGCTCCTGGGGGATGATGGAAATACTGGAGCGAAGGTGAGAGAGACTGATGGATTTGGTGTCTTTCCCGTCGATGAGAATTTCTCCCTGAAGACCCTCCCCTGTCAGACGGAAGAGGGCCTGAATCAGTGAGGATTTGCCAGCTCCAGTGCGACCCACGACTCCCACTTTCCAGCCAGGCTCGATTATTAAGTTTAGATTCTTCAGGACAGCCGGTTCGTCTTTCATATAACTCATGAAGACATTCCTGAAGTGAATTCTACCAGCTGAAGGCCAGTTCGGTGGAGGAGGACCTGTTGGATCATCGGATCCCTCCTGGGGAAGATCGCTGTACTCCAGGACTCGTTCCACTGCTGTCATCTGAGACTGGACCTCTGTACTCTGTCTCACACCGTACTGCAGCATTCCTGTGAGGATCAGGGATTGAGAGATCGCCAGACCAACCGATCCTCCCATAGTATTTCCTGAGATCATTTATTCATTATTACCATTTGGTAAAAATTCATTCATTATAAATTTCAACAAGATTTACCGTCATCCATGAGAATGAGGGAATAACACACGCAGGCGATGAACAAACAAGATATTAAATCGAGAATGAGACCAAATGCTGAATTTGTTGCTAATATCAAATACCACGAGCCCGTGTGCAGATCCTGGTGCTTATCGAATTCTTGTCTCAGCATCACCTGGACGTCAACCCCACGACTTCTAATCGTTGTCAGTCCATTCATCGTTGTTGCAACGTGGGAGAACACTGGACTCTTGGCTGACAAAAGTCCAATTTTATCGTTTAAATATAATTTGATTATATATTCATTCTTTACGGTCGTGTAAACACGATGTACACTCACCGATGCCCTCCAATCGTTTAATATCCTGCGCTGACCCCAGGAAAAATCCCCGGATAAAGTAAAACAGAATCATCACGACAATTGTTGGAATTACCATCCAATAATTAACAGATATAACCATTAATATGATGCTGATCATTATGAGAAATATTTGGATAGACTCCAGCACTGCTCTGGGGAGGAGCTCGTCAATGGCTCCGATATCCTTTGAGAATCTGTTCAAAATTCGTCCTGGAAGGTTTTTTTGTCAATTCTTAATGAATTCGTTAAGGATTAATTAAAAAAATCAATTTAATCTGCTCTTACCAGAGGGATTGGTATTGAAAAACAGCATCGATGCTCCAAGGACATTGCCGAACATAAATCCATGCAGCTCCCTGCTGCTCTTCATGCAGGCCGTCATAAAGATAATACTCCGATACATGACGAGAATAATGCAACACACTATAAAAAATGTGTAGATGTAAATGGCGTACTCTGTGGCCAGAAGTCCATCGTCGTCGAGGAGAGAAAAGTAGCTCCACACGGAGGTGTTGAAGAATCTCAGATAATCCGGTCTCATGGCCCTGTAATCCCCACCAGACTCATGGAAGGCTGCTCTGATTACCTCGACATTCGTCCAGTAGGCAATCCAGAGGTCTGCACCAGTGGTGGCAACCTGTCCCAAGAGGAAAATCAGGATGAGAACTGTCAGCGTGAGGATTGCACTGCCTGCCCGAAAATATCTCGTGTACACTTTCGTGGATAAATGCCCTGTCGACATGCCCTCTGCGTTTTTTTTGGCTCCATCAGCCGCAGGGGTGTTTTCGTCATCATACGCCTGCATGAAAAAAAAAATTGAAAGTCTAAATCCAAAGGATTTTGACTGGAGAGAGGCAGAATTTTTTAATTCAACTCACGAAACTATAACTCTCGACAGATCTTAGTGAGGATCTCCCCGAGCTTAACTGCGAGGGTCTCCCATGTCTGACGCTCCTCTGGCGAATCCCCAATTTTCCAGCATCGAAATCCTCAGGGTGATCTCCAGATTCCTCCGATTCCCCTGTCTTCACCTGTTCCTCGTCCTTCTGAAGTTGATTCAGCATCTGCTTGAAGTCTTTGCTGGCACTGGAGAGGTCGTCGAAGGCCCCCTGGCACTTCACCGAGCCCTGGACAAAATCTTTTAATCAGTCGGGTTCGAACCATCCCGAAAATAAATCCTCACCTTCTCCAGGACGACGATGACATCAGCTTGTTTAAGAAAATGAAGTTGATGTGTCACGAGGATGCGAGTTTTTCCTTTCAGAAAGCCAGCGATGCAGTCCTTGAAGAGACGACGAGCTACTCGAGCGTCAACTGCACTGAGGGGATCATCCAGGAGGTAGAGGTCAGCCTGTCGATATATTGCCCTGGCCAGGTTTACCCTGGCCCTCTGCCCTCCAGACAGAGACATCCCCCGCTCTCCCACCACTGTCATGTCCCCGTAGGGCAGCTGCTTGAAATCCCTCAACAGAGAGCAGACCCTTGTCACCTGGTGTTTCAAAAAAATTTTCAATAAACTCAATCACCTAGAAAATTCCCTCAATGTTTCCTCCGGGAATCAATAATTTTCCATATCAAACCACAAATTCACGTACTTCTTGATACCTAATGCTGTCATACGTCTGTCCGAAGAGGATATTCTCCCTCAAGGTGCCTGAAAAGAGCCAGGCATCCTGACTGGCGAAAGAAATTTTCATATCCAGGTTGTCCTTGAAGAATCCACGGACATCCCCAGGTTTGAGGCCGTTGGAGCCACTGTACTGGGAGAGACAGACTGTACCTGCTCCAACAGGCAATTCGTTCAAAAGGAGATTGAGTAAAGAGGACTTCCCCGAACCTACATGCCCCACCAGAGTGCACAGCTTTCCACCCTCTATCTTCATCGAGACGTTGCACAGAGTTGGTGGCAATTGTCCAGTCACCCAGTTCGCCGACACCTGATGCAGATCGATGGCCACTGGCCCCTTGGGGGGAAGTATTTTCTCCAGGTGCTCATCATTTTTCCCCATTTCTGCATTCCCCGAGGGATAATCGATCTCATCTAACAGAAGAAAATTCTGGTGACACAAAAATTGAAAATTTCGAACAATTCAATGTTTCGATTGAAAATTATTCAATGAAAAATTGAATTCACCTCGAGCCTTCGGATGGAGATCAGAGCCTCATATCCCATGATCAGAGCCTGGGGGAACAGGACTGTGCAGGCGAGCTGGAGCACGTTGAAATAAGTGGCCAGCTGGAAAGTCACCTCAGCTGTCATCGTGTTCTTCAGCAAGACAAAAGACACAACCGCGGAGAAGAGTGTTGTTCTTTCCGTGATAACCATAAGCCCCAGGTAAAGAGCTCGCAAGTACGAGGACGCCTTTATCTTCTGGATCTCCGCTCTCCTCGTTATGGAGACGATTTTATTGAATGGTTTTTCCCAGGCGTACGTTTTTATCACCTGGAGTTAAATCAACATAAATAATTCCTCCAGGAGATGATGAAATTTCCCTTACTTGAATTCCTGCGATTAATTCGTTCATCAGTTGCACTCGCCTGTCAGTCAGTCTCGCTATTTTCGATCTCAATCGACCCCCCATTTTCGAAATGAACACCTGCAGGGGAATCGTCATTATCAGGAGACAAGCCAGACCTACCAGAGTCGAGATTCCAATCCTCGTCCACATTATTACACAGATGATAACGATCTTGAAGGAAGAACGAGAAAAATAAAAAATTTAGGGGATGAATTTGCTCAGGGGTTTGAAAGGAAAAAAATAAAACCTGTATCGGCATGACGAAGATATGAGGGAGGTACATGGGGAGCTGATCAAAACGACTGACGTCGTTGCTGAGGATGTTGACGACCTGGCCAGCTGTTGTCTTGTCCAGCGATGCTTTACTGAGTTTCAGGCTCTAAATTAATATGTTGAAATCAAATTATTCAACATATTAATAAAAAATGAAGAAACAATTAACGAATAAATACTCTCGACTGACTTTTCGGTAGAGAAGTGAGGAGCATGCCACCCGGACTTGCATTCCAATTCGCAGTGTCTCAAGATTGGTGTGATGCTGGATGAACGTTGCGATAATGGTGGTGACGATTAATGCAGTCGCCCAGAGGAGGGCTTCGTCCCGATTTGGAAGGTCTTCCCCGGTGCCGAAATGTTTAATGACATAACCCTGGAAAACTGGCTGAATGGCCTTCAGGATGGCGCCTTGAATCAAAAGCAATGCACTGTTCCAGACGAAATTCGGCCAGAATGCTCGAAATATTGCACTCGTAAGACTCGGCCTCGGGGATGTCGTCCTCTTGTTCCCATCGTCGTCGACCTTGTACTCGATGTGCTTGAGCTTTTTCAGCTCCACCAGCCACGCCGACTCCAGCCGATTAGCCAAACTCTCGGAGATGTCTTCGTCGATGGGATCATAGATGTCCTCCATGGAGAGATCCTTTTTCGCACCCTTTCGAAAAATTTCTACAGTCCACCTGGGTAAAGTATTGCAAATTCATCCGATAAACAGTAACTCGAAAATGTTTTGAATATTGTTTTGACGGTTTTAACAATTCAAGGACTTCGATTTGCCTCTTTGATGGCTAGAATGACAATCAGTCATTAATAGTTCCGCCAGTTATTTAAATAATATTTTTTTTTCTCAACTCGGGGGTTTTTTATGAGTGACAATTAGTACAAACCAGAAGAAGAGCTTGCTGATGATGTTCGCCCTCTCCAGGGGGCTTCTCTTCGGGGATGTCGTCATGGGAATTCACTCCAGGTAAACAAATCTCCACGGAATATCAGAGAGAAATGACTGGAGAAATGATGTAATAGTAAAATCTGGTAAAAACACGAATTTTTCTCCGCGAAAAGTCTACGAGAACTTCACTATTTTTTTTATCAACTTTGGAGTTCTCTTTTCGATTTAATTCACAATAAAAATTTGGAAAATCTAATGTCTTCGGGGTGGACAGTCGAAAATTCGTAGAATTTCCAATGGATTAAACGATTTTTAGAAATAAAGAAAAATGCATGGGGTCTTTATCACAAAAAAACGTAAATTGATTGGAACCCATGACTGAAACCCACTTCTTCAAGAATTATTTTTCAAATGATCACCAAGTCCTCGAAAAATTCTGCATGATCACCCGTCACCGGTTTAATTAAAAAATCGAGGTCCCCGATAAGACGAATGACGAGCACGTGTTGCAGAATGAAAATTCATTCATTATCTGTATGCAGAACAATAGTTTTAACGACTAAATAATCTGGCACTTGTGGATTATCGATGTTAACGATATTCAAGAAGAAAGTCATTGAATTTTTCTAAATTCAGTCATAATGCGCACAATTCTCCACCGAGCAGAGAAATATCGACGAAATAAAACCGAAGATCACCTGAAAAGGCATTTACAGAGAATAATTAAAAACAATTATTCGTATCTCATTTGTCTGATTTATTTACAATTATAAAGAATCTTAACATCAAGTCTATTCTTTAAGTATCCGTTGGAGAGATTGCGCAAGCTCTCAAAAATTATCTAAAATATACTCACGGTGCGGAGAGAGAAATTAAACCGTTAAGCATCGAAGACATCTCCGAAAAATAATTCACTTACGCTCTAAATCACTTAACGGAAAAATTCTCTCTCCATGGAATCGTGTAAATGATTTTTCTATTGATCGCATAATACAAAAATATTCATACAACATTGTATTGGAGATTGCGAGGGTTGTAACGAGAATATTTCCCCTCAGGTTTGAGAAAATAATATCAAAAATTGAAAACGGTTGAATCACTCGAGTTCATTTACATACAGCTATCGAAGTACTTCGATTTTTTGTACATTTCAATAAAAACTCAATCTCAAGGACAATTCCTCGATTGATAAGGCCCCAGAAAGATAAGTACAGATGAGGTAATTTCAGGTGAGGCATAATAGCACCATTTCCTTCTCAGAAATTGAGTTTTCCAGTGCACATTGTCTCCTATAAATTGCTCCAGGATTTCCTCTCAGAGGCGCTCCCCATGTAGCTCTTCGTACGCCTTCTTGGCGACCTTGAAGAGCTGCTCGTGCATAGCTCGTCCTGTCTCCCTGACGAGTGATGTGAATTGTCCTCTTTCATTCTGGAGAAGAAGATAAGGATGATCGTACTCAGCAAGTCGTCCAGCATCCATCACGAGAACTTTATCACTATCCATGATGGTGTTGAGACGATGGGCAACAGTGAGGACAGTGCATTCAGCGAATTTTGTTCTGATGGTCCTCTGAATGAGGGCATCGGTGTGTGGATCGACATTGGCAGTGGCTTCATCCAGCATAAGTACTTTATTATTCCTGAGAATAGCCCTGGCAAGGCAGACGAGTTGTCTCTGTCCAGCGCTATAATTGGTCCCCCTATCAAATACTCTACTATCAAGGCCATGGATACCAGTGGCGACGACGTCTTTCAGCTCGACTTCATCGAGAACAGCCCAGAGGGCATCATCACTGAATTCATTGAAGGGATCAAGATTTTTCCGGAGTGTCCCTGAGAACAGGACAGGATCCTGGGGTATGATGGAAATATTTTTTCTCAGGTCCTCCAGGCAGATGCTGCCAGTGTCGACTCCATCGATCTCGATTACCCCCTCGACCCTGGCAAGCCTGAAGAGTGCTGATATGAGGGAGGATTTGCCAGCACCAGTTCTCCCAACGATGCCAACCTTTTCTCTTGATTTAATCACCAGATCGAGGCCCTTCAGCACAGGTGGATCATCGTCCGAGTACCTCATGTAGACGTACCTGAATCTGATTGTTCCCTCACTCGGCCAATTCTTCGGCGCTGGCACTGGAAGTCTATCCAACTCAGAGTCCACAGACTTGGTTAACTTACTCTTCATCTTCTTCTTGGTTATCAAACCCCTGTCACAGAGATTGTCCTCAGGTGGAAGTAACGTATACTCGAGCACTCGTTCCACCGACATCATCTGATTGGCGACCTCCGCTGACTGACGCATCCCCCACTGGATCATACCCGTCATCGACATTACCGTCGTTATGGCGAGACCGACCTGTGATCCTGAATATCCCTGGAGTAAGAGCAGTGAAAATGTCACGATCATCGTGAAGATAAAGCAGAATACGTCCAGAGAGAACCCAAATGCTGTACTAGTTACGATAAACATGTACCAGGCTGAGCTGTGACTGTCCTGAAATCTATCAAACTCCATCTTAAGGATCTCCTGAGCATTGTAAGCCCTGATGGTGGATAAACCATGAAGTGTTGCATTCAAGTGGGTGAATACTGGTGATCGCAGAATTCCCTCCAGTCTCTTCACGTTTTTACTCGTCTTCAGGTAGACTTTTCGAATCCAGTAGAATATAAATGACATGACAGCCAGAGGTGCTATGAACATTGGATTGACAACGCAGACAACTATCAATGCTCCCACCATCATCATGATTATCTGGCCAGCGTCCAGCTGAGCCTTTGGTAGAAGCTCATCGATTGCTCCCATGTCCTTGGAGAATCTGTTGAGAATCCTGCCACTGGGATTAGTATCGAAGAATCTCATTCCCGTTCTTATGAGTGCTCCAAATGCCCTGTCGTGGAGTGTCTGAGATGCTCCAATAGCCAGTCCGTAAAACATGAACGATCTGGTGATACCAATCACGAATATCGAGAGAACGAGAACAGAGTAAATATACACATAGATATAAACTGGTGATTGAGGATAATCTGAGTTAGTTAAATTCCCAGTGGTATTCAATCGATCGATCTCGAACTGGTGATGGCGTTTCTCCTCGAAGTCCACCATCATCGGGAAGAACAGATCATTGAGAGTGACAGCACACTGCGCCAGAAGGAAGAAGACTCCTACAGTGAGAACGAAACACCAGTTACCCCCAGCTCTGAAATATTTCGCGTAGATGGAGCCCGTGATGATGCCCTTGGAGGTGCCCTCGAGTACGTTCTCAGCCTCTGGATCGTTGTCGTCGTCCTCGACGTCTGTGTCCCCTCCAGAGACGTCTGGAGTTCGACTCCTTGTGGATGCAGTGGATACCTGTCGTCGCATTCCAGATCTTTCGTGAAAGGAGTCGTCACCGGTCTCTGATGACGAGTCTGACGCGAGGAGACTGGCGTACACTGGCCTCTCAGCTAGTAATTCCGGATAATTACTGAATCTTATCAATTTTCCATGCTCCAGTAGAAGAATAGCATCAGCACCTTTGATGAACTGCAGCTGGTGGGTCGCGAGGATTCTTGTTTTGCCCCCTAGGTACCTCTGGAGGCACTCCTCGAAGAGATGTTTCCCCACGTGAGTGTCAACGGCACTCAGGGGATCATCGAAGATGTAGACGTCCGCCTGACGATAGACAGACCTCGCCAGATTGATTCTGGCCTTCTGTCCTCCTGAGAGGGAACTTCCTCGTTCTCCCACGACTGTCTGATCCCCTTGGGGAAATTGTTTGAAGTCAGATAGCAGAGCACACGCCTTGATCACTCTCTGATACCTCTGACGATCGTACGGCTGTCCAAAAATTATATTCTGCCTGACTGTCGAACCGAACACCCACGCCTCCTGGGATGCGTAGCTCATTCCCCCTTTGATGTCCACACGACCTCCAGATATGTACATCTCCCCCAGGATTGCTGATATCAGTGAGGATTTACCAGAGCCCACAGCCCCGATAACGATGTACAATTTTCCTTTTTCAATTTCTGCATTCACTTCCTCCAGGATATTCTCAGGTGCCTCAGGCTCCCACTTGGCAGTCAAATTTCTCAGAGAAACAGCTATATGGCTATTCTGATTAGCCACATAATTCGCTGTGTTCTTCACGAGATCACTGGCCACCGCAGCCAGACCGTTCATCTTCAAGGAGTCATTGGGGCTCTCGTGGGAGATCTCATCATCAATGTAAGGGAGATCACCCTTTGGAGATTTACTATCCGGCGAGATTGATCTATTCTCGAGCACTTGGAATTCATCGTACATGAGAAAATGCTGAAGACGACGCACTGCTACCATGCACTCAGCAATTTCGGCGACCCCTCGGACAAACATCGCGGACATCGTGTGAGAGAGTGTCCCAAAGTACGATGAGAACACGAATACCTTCTCAGCAGTGAGAGGCTGACCGAAGAAGATCATCCCAACGAGGGTGCAGTAGACAGCCATTCGAGTGGTAAAAAGATTGAATGTCATAAAAATTCCCCGGATCCAGGAACTTTTACGAACGACCTTGAGCTCGAGACGACGTGCTAGTTCGATCATCGCGCAGAAGGGCTTCTCCCAGGCGTACATTTTGATCACCTGAACCCCGGATATTATCTCGTCCATCAAACGAACTCGTTCATCCGTTTTTATCGCTGTTTGGAGGCGAAATATCGAGGAGAGCTTTCCTGTGTATGACTGAATGGGTACGACGATGAAGACTGCAGCAATTCCGAGAATACCTGCATAACCTGCCTCAACGTATAAAAAATAACCGATTATTATCGCTGAGAGGGGTGCTGACCACATGTAGTGGATGAAAACTGAGACAATGTCGAAGCGATTCACATCATTCGCCACGAGGTTCACCACTTTTCCAGGGGCTGTTTCCCCGAGGGCTGTTATGCTAAGGCGAAGAGCTTTTCTGTACACCACTGAGCACACGGCTATACGAATTTTTCCACCGATGTGAAACGCCCCGAAGACACTCTGATTTATTGTTATCGCATTCAGGGCTGTTGCCAGGCAGATACCAGCTGCAAACATCAGGGCTGTATCGAAGGAACGGGTTGACTCGTCAGCCCTGAAGTACCTGAGGAGTCCACCCAACAGCATCGGTGTTCCCAGGCGGAGGAAAAACTCATTGAAGATCTGGAGAAAGCCCAGGAGGGAGTACTCCCACAGGAAACAACGGAGTATTGTCCTCAGAAAATTTGGACTCTTCTTCGATCTCTTGCAGACCTCCAACTCTTTGAACCATTCTCTGCGGATAATTGAGAATTTTGTTAATTGGGGATTGGGTCGACATTGGGGAGTGAGGGGTAATTAATCTACCTCTCCAGTCTATCCCCCAGGACACCTGATCTGTCTGACTGCACCGGGTCGAAAAGATCCGAGGGCTCCAATACTTTGCTGTAACCAGTCTTGAAGAATTTTAAGGTCCATCTGAAAATTCATCGAGTGACTAGTTGATTTAAACAATCACTGAATAAATAATATCGCTTTTCATTTGAAAAATGTGAAATTCATTCGTCGAGGAATTTTTTTAACAGTCAATTCAAAATAAACTCACGTCCACAGTAAAACAGCGAAAATATTCGCTTTGCTTCGCGGATTTTCATGGGCATATTGTTTACTGGCGTCCATCTTAAGAATTCCCTCATTAATTAAGGAAGATCGAATCAGGCAGGATTATTCCAATCACTCCTGCACTCACATTAGATTGCACTAAATAATTAGGGGCACATATGATGAATTTTTTAATGATATTCTCGTCCCATTCATGTATTTTATCACGTATGAAGCACCAGAATGTATGAACACTTCCATTGGGTTTATTGGATAATTATCATCACAGCCATGATTTCCAAATGGCAAATTCCCGGCGTTCCAGGGTCGTCCTCTTTTCGGTGTACCTGCAGGAGAAAAATCAGGTGAATTTATTTCCCTGTTTGTTATTCCCGATTTTCTATTCGAGGATTTGATCGTGACGCCGTATTGCTCAACAGCTGGGGCTTATCAGCCGTCTGATAAGAGCTGCATCACCCCTTTTTCTTCAATAATTCCAGGCGCAAATTCTGTTCAATATTTGTGGGTGAAATATTTGTTTTCCGGAGGTAATGGAAATCTCTCGACTGTTATCTCCCGGTGGAAGTGATTTAAACTCTTGCTTATTGATTTTTAATTTGTCTCTTCAATTTTTTTATCATCTTAAGAATTATCTACAGAAATTCCCCAGAAAAGGCGAAGAATATTCTTTTTTTTTTGGCCCTTCTTTAGAAATTATTGGATCCTCTCAATTCTCAATGCAATTATCCTCAATAAATTTTTTTCACTGCCTCCTACTGATTGTTTAAAGTAATAAATAATGTGCGAGTTGTTTCCTGGAAAAATCGCTAGTTTCCTCTTCCAACTTGTTGTTTATGCATCTCGGTTTAAAATTTATTATAAATAAATCGATTTTTGTTTGTCATTTTTAATGAAGGAAGAATTCATAAGTTGTATGATGATTTTTACATACAGAATGCAACAGGTCATAAAACAATCGCGTTAGGAAAAAATACTCTGTTATAAAAGACGATGACTTGGCGTTTCGGAGACGAAATTCAAGATTGACTCTATTACAAGTGGGAAAAAAAACCGACGAATGAGAAAATGATGGTTCATGTTTACGACAGATCATGCGGGGATTTTATCATCAGAGATAAATTTATTTGCTTATGCGGCTGATTATACCTTGATTTCCCTCCCTACAGTCTTCAAAATTAATCACGAAATTTTAATATTCACGGTTTCCTACATTCTTCAAAAATTCATGGAATTTCAGTCATTAATTCCCCGATTATTCATTAATTTCAGGGATAACTCAACTGAAATTCAGGATTTTCTATGAGTTTTTCCGTGATATTGTGGATTATAAATAAAAAAATTTTCATATTTCAGTTAAATTCAAATCAATCAATCAGATAGGATGACTTGTAGATTTCCAGACTATGAGTGATGGTTAAATAATTCAGAGGAAGAACTGCAACGACTGCGATTAGAAGGTTGTTTCAAGGCAAAATAAATAATTCTTCCGGCGAAAAGATGCGGTTGGAATCCCGAGAATGCAACGAACGAAGTGGAGCATTCGCCGGGAAATGCCCTCGCTGTGAATTTCCCCGCTTGTCAGTAAAATTTGAATACAATGAATAACCAGAGAATTGTATTAATTGTTTTTTTTACAGGTGATGGCTCACACTGAATGCGGGGAGTGGAAGATACAATCGATGGGGAAATTAATTGTGATGTAATGAACAACAAAGATTCTTCCGTTATGACTTCCGTCCTGAGGCTTTATAAACATTCTCGGATGTCAATCCATGAACAAAGTGTTAACGAGAAAACAATTCGCGACTTCAGAAGGAAAAATCGACATTTGGAGTTTCTCAGGATTTTTGAGGAGGAGAATTTTTTTTTCTGTGAATCTGAGAGAGATAATTCAATTATTAAAAATTTCTAATTGAAGATTTTATTTATGTATAGATTTACTATTGGATTCTAGTTGTTTTTATCGTGCAATCGGAGGAAGACCTTGGAGAAGAATTTTGAGAATTCGGAATTGTTTAACTCGAGGAGAAATACTAGACTACTGGACAATTTCATTTAATGAAAAAGATCACACGGGTCAATCACAAACAGACAACAGGTCCAATTGTGGAGTCAAGTGAGTGTCACGCTTTTTCATTGAGTCCCATATTTCTGATGGAAAATTATTGCATGAGAAAATCGATCCTCGAACTCTCAAAAAAACGTGTTCTCAAAAAAACTATATTTCTCCCCCAAATCAAATATTAAATAAAATTTCCCTCAAAACCACAGGCGAATAATTCTCATTAGAAAAGGCCGGGATTTATAAATTTTCCGTGTCCCCGGATTCTGTCTCCTTTAAATGAAGCAACTGGAATGATGACTTGCGATATAATTCCCCGATAATGACTACAAATCAAGAAAGATGACGAGTTGCCTCGGGTCACGAGATAAACCACAAGAACCGCCAAATGTTTTTTCAACTCAAACATCAACCTGCAATTGTTGAAGCAACGAAATAAAAAATGATTAATGACTCATTAAGCAGCTGACAGCTAGATGATCGGTAATTTCGAGGTCGAGCGTTTTGCATGGTAAGTTGAGTGGAAAAAGGATTCAATGAAAGCCTACGAGGCATTTTTATTTATACATACGTCTGACTCGAGTGATTCGCCTGCCTAGAGTATTCACTGATTCCAAATTAATTTTTGCAATTTTATTTCAGGAAGTCTTCACTCGTTTATCAACAACAGAATGCACTTGATGAATTTTCTAGGGACACTGGGGGGAATCAATTAATTTTTGGAGATTTTTTTTTTCGGGAAAAAGGGCGCGACTGACAGAATGTGTGACACGTGTGACGCGTCCGCACACTGATTACTGAACCATTGCAACTTCAGCTACGATATATTATCCCAAGGTCTTCCCTCCCACCTCCCACCCCTCCCACTCTATTTTTCGAAACAAAAATGGAACTGCTGCGATGACTTCTGCGCATGCTATACAAATGAGGAAATTCGAAAATTCGTCGAGCCACATCATGCTGAGGTTGTTAAAATAAATCAGTAAATATCGTTATCGTGACAAGTATTTGACTGGATTTTGGGGATCAGAGGGATTTGGGAAATTGCACCCGATCCCCTGAAATTTTTTATTAAAATATTTGATGCTGTGTGAAATTTTCTACTTGCAAATGATGTACAGCGGAAAATTGCAATATCTCGGGCTTGGGAAATAATTCGACTGTATTTTTGAATATTAAATCAGCAGTGAAAAAATTTTTGACGTTTCTCAGATTGAGTAGGTAATTATTTTCTCATTATTCTCTGGGAGATTTGGGGAGCGTCAATTTATAACTTGACTCTGCGTCGACTCTGCTATCACGTCCTAATTTAGATTTCTCCATGAATCATCAATTGTATTGTATATTACACGCATTTATTGAGATTATCCTCCATTAAGAAGTCATTACGGAATAAAAAAGTGCTGCAATCGTTTAAAAATGTACGAAAAGAATCTTTATTTTCCTCAAGAGAAAAAATAGAACAAGTACATGACATCAGTCGACTATTGAACAATTTCCAAATAACTAATTGAATTACATTCCATTAAAAATTCTATCTTTCAACAGTTCTATTCCATTTCCATAACTCAATCATGCACTAACCACTCATTCAGTTAATCGGCTTTTAATTATTATAAAAGATACTTCGTAGTCGATAATACGGGTCAATCATCTAGATGAATATTTACAGATGCTCGTAGATGATCGATCCTGATTGATTATGGGAGGGGCTCGTGAGTCTGAGGGGCAATAACAAGTACAGAATCTCCTCCTCACGAGCTATTGACATTAAAAGTGATAATAACGTTACAATTAAATAATTTCGCTGTTGTCGACGCGACACTAGTCTGGTCATAATAACTACTTTCTCCATATGTCCCGGCGAGGAAGGAATCTGATACTTTTATAATTCAGAGTCTTGGAATTATCGTGTCTGGAGATTACTTATCATCAGGGTGAGCTTCTCATACGCATACTCAAGATTTTTAGCTAGACCTGCACTACAACCATTCTGCTGGATTGTCTCGAAACGATAGGTCCTGAAATTTTTGTCATTGTCGATGTAAGTTACAGCTGCCATAAGGGGACACATGATTATCTTCGTATGGTCCAGGAAATTTATCTGCAATCACAGGAAATTTTACAGAGCAATGTTATTTAATTAGAATTTAATGTTAAATCGTGAGAAAATAAAATTGAATAAATGCTTACCTGAACAGATCCATTAGTAAGCTGCATGACAACAGCAGTCTGTGTGCGAAACCATTGATACATGTAAGGTATCCTGGACATGGAGTCGCTCTGCTTGACAGTAACAGATCCCCCGGCCTTCATTAGATGCTCATTCATGTACTGGAGAAAGAAATTCATGAGTTTCATCTTCTTCTCGAGTGTTTGGGGATAATCCTTGACAGTGTAGTAAACTTCGCTGCCCTCTCGATTGATATAATGAATATTAAACTTATTGGCAAGCATGATTAATCTAGTGCCATCATTGTACATGACTCCAACACCATCATCACACAGTTGATAACCAAATCCATATTTATCAGAGTAGTCGACCCACTTGCTGACCCACAGGATGGGCTGGGCAGCTGGATCTGTCATCTCGACAGCTGATGAAGCGTCTCTTCGAGCTGGTTTTGAGGTGAGAACAGCTCCCACCTGTTCCTTCAACGTGATGAGCATTCGTTTTATGTCACGACCTGCTCGTTGCACCTCACTGACTCCATCCTGCTTGGTCTTTCGAGCTGGTGAACCTGGCAACCTGAACATCGGTGAATCAATGCCCTCTTCGTTGTGATTCATCTCAGAGAGAGGCTTCCGCTGATTGTAAGTCTCCAGAGTATCCAGACGTGGTGCCATCGTTAGACAGGAGAGGGGCAGACTCTGGGGTAGAAAACCAGTGGTGATGAAGGGATCTTTCAGCAATTTTGCAACACTCGGACGCTTTGCTGGATTTCCCTGGAGGGTATTTGAAATCATCGTGATGGCTGTTGTGCTGATATTTGTGGGGGTTTTGTACTGGACCTGCTTTATTCTGGCGTATGTCTCACGTAGGGTTGCTGTCTCGAAGGGTGGCTTACCCACCAGCAGAGTGTACATTATGCAACCGATACTCCAGACGTCCACCTCGTAAGAGTGGCCCACCTTCGTCAGGATCTCAGGGGCAATGTAGTTTGGTGTTCCACATAAGGTTTTTTTTCTCTCACCGTCGTGCTCCAATTTCGTTGCCAATCCAAAATCACCGATTTTCACCTGGAGCTCATCGTTGAGGAATAAATTTCCTAACTTCAGGTCACGATGGATTATGCGATGCTGATGGAGATAGTCCACACCATCCAGAATTTGCTTCATGAAGTACCGGACCTCGCACTCTGTCAGAGCTTTTCTACGTTTGTGCAACTCCATCATCGATCTCTTTCTGCACAACTCGAGGATGATGTAGATGTTGTGGACGTCGAAGAAGTAGCCGTGAAAGCCCACCACATTTACGTGGTTCAGGCTTCTGTGAATAGCAATCTCCTGCGTCATCTTCTCTCGTTGACTGTTCTTCGTCATCATGTTTTTATTGACTATTTTACCAGCATACACCGCCTGACTCTTGGATTCACGAATCTCGTAGCATTTCGCAAAACCACCCTGAATAATTAACGAGTAATTGTGGAATTAGTGGAACATCTAAATCGTTCACTCTAGAAATAAATCCTCATAAAAAAAAAAGACAATTACAAGATGAAACCAAATAAAATCTCTCCCATCGTCAATATTCCACCAGTGACTCGAGGAAAAATTTTCGATAAAGCCTCAATTGGTGTTTAACCTCCGAAAATGATTCCGTAACTTTCAAAAGTCTGCGCGAACCTCAAAATCCTCCTGAGCACCCTTCCCTCCAGAAGTTATCCACCATTTTCCTCGTGTCTTCTCATGCCCCCGAAAATTCAACGAGCACTCAAAAAAAAATCACTGCAAAGCCACAACAACCCTGAAGAAATCTAAAAATTACCTTTCCAAAGAAGCGGCCCTTGATGTAGCTCTTCCCTGATTTGTCGTCGTAGATGACGTCTGGTATGATCGACTCTTTCTCGTCCTTCGACATTTTGCCCCTTCAAAATATCTTAACTACTGGGAAAAAAAAATGTCCAGAGCAAAGCGTATACTCTGCAAATAAACTTTCTAGACAACAATGAATACTGGATCCTATGGAGAAGGGAATTTTTAGAGTTCGATACAAGGGAGACGCACCGCTGATGGATCCCACAACCTTCCAACAGCACTCGGTGTTTTGGCAACGGACGTTGGACGTTTAAATTCAACAATCAGCCAATCGGAAAAGACCTGGTGAAAAAATTCACCGGAGATGCCCGGAGGATGCCGACAACCAATCAAATTCACTCCTTCACATCATTCCTCGTGATTTCCCCGGAATTATCCATGTCAATCTCCATATTTTCTGTCATCTTCTGATTTTATTTCGATTCCTGAATCCTTCATCACCATTTAAAGAGGATTATTTCGGTTTTACAATCAATTTTTGGGGGATTGTAACACGATTTGAATCACGTCGTCGTGAATTTAGTACAGATTTTTTTAACATTCACTCCTAGCGCTGATGAACTTCCCGTTTTGATGGAATTGCGGTGGCGTGTGAACTAATCCACAGGATTATTCATGTGAATAAGGAAGAACACGAAGTCGTCGATAATTTTTATCAGCTCATAAATATTGAAATAGATCTTGTCATCTTATCATACCTCTGGTTTTCGCAACTATTTTCTAATTATTACGGAATTTCATCTATTTATGAATTAATGTTAATTACTGGTGTTCCGAGAAGATTCATTGAACCTGAAATATTATCAATATGGTACTGAACGATGTTAACAAACTTGTTCACGACCTAGAAAAAACAGAGCTGGAGGTAAGTTGACGTTTTTTATTGTTAGGTTATGTTATTACCGGTTAATTAATGTGATTAATTACAGTCAACTACTGGGACAGTCTCATCTCAAGTTTACTGTCAGTTACTGGCGGTTTATCTCTATCAGAATGACCTGTGCAATGCCAAATTTCTCTGGAAGAGAATTCCAGATAGTGTGAAGAATAGCTGTCAGGAACTCTCGCAAATTTGGAATGCTGGACAGAAAATGTGGCAGCGAGATTGGCCAGCGGTTCACACAGCTCTTAATCTCGAGTGGAGTGAATATGTTCGTCACATTATGCAAGCATTAAAAGGTGAATAAAAATTTTAATTGTCGATTAAATTCCAGTTTTTGTTAGACTTTTGACTGGAGATTCATCGGAATTTATAAAATTTTGCAATATCTCCTCAATGCTGATCAGTCCTGCCTCTTCAAAATTTCCCTGGCCACTCCTCAATTTTCATGTAATTGATGTAATGCATTCAAATCACATTGAGGAATGTGAAGGGACTATCGCTGTCATTTCATGCTGTCCACTTCACGTCAAAACTCATCTAGTGATTTTCTCCCATTAATTTTTCAATGCGTCCTACTAAATCAACATTGAATTTAATTTAATTGTAAATCTTTACGAATGACTTCGAATGACGAAATACATTACACCGAGATCAAGTCGATTTGTTTGAAAATTAATTGCCTATTTATTCAAAAGCCTAACAAAGTGGAAAATAAGATTGAAGATTTCAATTTATAAATAGTTTTTTGCAGAATCAGTAGAATAAAAAAGATAACAATCAATTCCAGAGAGTGTTCGTGAAAGGGCGATGTCATTAGTCTCCGAGGCTTACTCATCCGTGGATATATCAGTTCTTGCGGGGATGACGGGACAGTCTCTAGACGAAGCTAAACAATCAGTCCTGGAGCGAGACTGGAGCCTAGACGAGACAACTGTCAAGCCCTGTAAAATGACGAAGGAGCAAGCCACCCCCAGTCCAGCCACCCTCACCGAGGATCAACTGTACAAGCTTACTCAATTCGTATCTTTCCTCGAGAATTAGAAATTTTATCTTAATAATTAAGATATTTAAGCATTAACAATGGAACGAGCAGGAGATAAAATCGGAAAGAATGTGGATAAATTCCAGTTTTTTTCGTTTTTATTTTAGCAACTTGTCGACTTGTCGCCCACAACAATGTCCAGTAATGCACTTATTAATTAGATTAATAATAAAGTTTCATATTGACTCATATCGACAATTTAGAATTTGAAATAGTCCTCGGGTGAATGGCAGAAAGGCGTTAAAAATGATAGAATAAGAAAATTGTACAACTGCCAACGGCGGCTTTTAACTCGGGTATGACCTCTTGGCAACAACTGTAAGTTTCGTCCTCGTGTGCACGCGCGGAAGAGGCATAAAATCTGTACATATATATTCAAAAGCCAAGACATCTCCAATCGATTTTACCTACACTAAAAGATCGTGATGTTTCTTAACTCCAACCGAGCACCACCAAAGGCGCGAAGATACGACCTTTGCTCGGTTTCACGCCGCTGTCGAATGCGAGAGGGAGGCAATACTTGAGATCAAGAAATTGTATGGAAGGCGAATACATTCGAATTTGCCATGGGTCTCAGGGTGCCCCATGACGAAATCATTCCGTGTGGCACGCATTGGGTGGTTGAAAAAAAAATCTGGACAGAGGGATTTTCTGGGAAAGGACAAAGAAATCGAGACAGACTCAACAAAAAAAAAAAAAAATAGCTACAAAATTCCCGGAGATATTTCTTGGGGGCAGTCATTTTTTTTAAATCATTAATTCGATTTTATTTTGAATAACTTCCCAGTGTAATCCGTTTCACCTTCTGCAGGTGATAATTTATTTGATTTTATCGATATATCTCGCTTTATGGTACACGGGGAAAGAGTTAAATCGACTTATCTCACTTACTCTTCTCCTTCGATGGAGTTATGTCGATTTAATCCAGCAGTCAATAAAGAAAATATATTTATTGAAAAATTAGCAAGTTTATAAATTCCATCAATTTTCCATTAAATTTACAGAAATAAAAGATAATTATTTCAATCAAAAATACAATAAAACCGAAGGAGTTATTCCCGATATCTATCCATTCTCATGTTCTCCATTTTTTCTCCTCAATTTCATAAATTATCATTCTCATAAATTCGTAAAAAAAAATTGAAAAACGAGATATCGGTAATAACTCCCGAAATTTTCGACAACTCCAGGAATTTGAGGCTTCAATTCGGTAGCAAAATAGAGGAGATAAATAAAATAACGTTGGTCTGGTTATCTAGGATAGAAAGAGCGAGTCCTGGTGTCGCAACATCCACGGGGTTGGCCGCTTCAAAGCGGTTACAGGGCGGTACAAGTGTGGCGTACCGTTCGATTGTTTCGTTATCGCGATCATCCTCGAGTACAACAGGTCAATCCTCCAGAGTATCTCCTCTTTCCTCATTCATCTGTGTACGTTAATAATCATCACTTGTATTCTACGAATAGGCTGCGCCTAGTCGACATAACTCATTTTCCATTAAATTTTTTCAATGCGACTTCTCTTCGTCGTGGCTTTTTATCCTTCACTTTCCAATGTGATACCACAGATTTAACAATAAAATTTATATTAATAAAAAAATTGAGGTTTATGGTGATTTGAGGGAGGTGGTGGAGATATCGTCGTCAGATGGGTGTTAACTCATCTTTGGGAATGACTCGGATGAATTACGAGGAATATTATTAAAAGTGGTTTGGAGGTAACTAGACAAATTACTTTCCCCCAGCTGTACAGCGAAAGCTTTGCGCTATAAATTCTTCACTTTTTTTTTTTCACTTTGCCTCATATTTATAACTATGTGCGGATGTATATTAATCGTTTTGAAAAGCCGTCGAACGAGCTTAGCACCTGTATGTGAATAAATCTGCGGGGCATTTAATTATCGGCGCTCCCAAGGATGATAGCAATCATTTGGAATAGGGGGAGTATTTTAATCGGTGAGGACAAGGGTCGCGATTCTCATTGAGAACATCAGTGTTCAGGAGAAAATGGGAATTGATAACAATTTTTGGCATCGGTGGTTCATTTAGTCGCAGGTACCGCGCGAGGTGAACTGGGATAACCGATTTTTTTTCGACCCCAGTTTTTTGATGATTTCTCGAAATTGAAGGGAGATTATGAAATTTTTATAGATACCTTTTTTGTAGCTATCAGCTTTATCTACAAAAAATGTTCATGCGAAAAAATTCGGTATGTCACCCAATCCCGAGATATCGGCAAAAAATCGGTAGCCGAAGTTCACCACTTGCGGTCTGAATTATGAAAATAATTGAATATCCAAAAGAATTTCCATTCCAAGAAACGGCCACCATTTTGATTCTCAAAAAATCGGTATTCACCGAAAAAAAAAAATAGCAACAATCGGAAACCGCAAGCCCGAGAAAAAAAATTTGCAACATATCTTTGCAATTTCCCCCTCGACTAAGAAAAGATGATAAAAAAAAATCACCGGAGTACGACTCGTCGTGCAATTTCACAACCTCTCGGAGACCCGGGGCAGATCTTAAGCCGCGGCATAAGAAGAAAATATCTGAAAGGTGCAGGTTAGAGACAGAGGTGAGGCGTATAAGCTATGAAGAAGGCTAGGCCTGCACAGCAAGATAGAAAAAATAAAAATCATCCCAAGATGTGGCGAAGTGTTCCGGGAGGCGGAGGAGGTGGGTTACAACTGGCATCGACGACGTAAGGTAACCCGAAGGTGGATATCTGAAGAGAATGGAATATGGGATCACCTCGGGTTAGGGTTCGACGATACCTGGTGTGCGCCCACGCTTCCATTGTCTATTTCTCCTTTTATTTCATTTCTTTCACAGGATCCCATAAAAAGTCTCTTCCATTCTTATCATTTTTATCCTTTAGTCCGTGTATTCAGGATCCACTGCTGTCTCCACGTCATCCTCTGCGAATTTCTCAACAAACTCATCCTCATTTTTATGAATTAAATAAAAAAATAATCACCAAAAAATCATTGACCAATTCACCTTACGTCTCTGATTTCCTCAATTTTTTTTTACTTCTTCACTGGAATATTTAGATGGTCTAATGGTGTATGTGCACGCCAGTCTGCTGTCCCACTTGTCTCGGAATAGCGTGGGATAGGCCCTTGGGAGAGATGATAATTACAGCTCCAGAGGTGAGCATTTACCGACTATTTTCTAATGTACCACCACCAGTTGTTTCGGCATTGTCGCTGGAAATAATCATTTTTTTTTCCTCAATCAGACGAAGTATAAATGCCTAAAGAAACCTGATTGAGCAGACATCCTCATATTTCCAAACGCCTTAATGCATTTAATTGAGGAAATAAAAATGGCTAAATGCATAATAAATATTCAGCTAATGAAAGAAGTGCTCGGGAAATTTTATTCGTATAAAATCGAGGGAAGGGGTATTTTAATTCATTTCTGGCATTCTGGATGATACACGACGAGCCCTGACCTGTCTCGTAACCCCTGAGCACTCGGTGATACATCGAGGAGGAAACCATACCTGGGAATGAAGAGAGCAGGGGAAAATAATGAAAAAAAAAAAAAGTATCAAATGCGAAGACGATGAAAAAGAAAAAAGAATTTATCTGAGTGGCATTCAGGTCGCGTTGACTTGTCGTTTGCGCTCTCAACTCACTATCGACTCCTTTATTGGTACCTGCAATCTGCATACTTAACAGCATCTGCTTCATCGACTATGTGGAAGGCGAATGTCGGGAATCTCAACGTCTTTGACTTCTTCTTTACCTCTCACCTCGTGATGGGTTTCTTCTGGCCGGTTCACAGCCATCTTCTTCACTACTTTATAAATAGACATAGTGTTTAAAAAATAATCCTGGGAATGAATTCACAAGTGCCAGACAGCTATTGCACCAATACCGAATTATTTATCTATAAAGATAAATAATCATTCGCATGCATCATCAAGCTTGAGGTATCAATTCCAGGTAGAAATTCCAATAATCCACTCATACATACATTAAACATTATTTTTATCATCGCTCATGCATTGTGTGTTCAGAGAAATGGAAATTTTCACTTTTTACCACTTTTACAGGAGGTGGCAATTAATGCAAAGTGAGTTGTCGATGCTCGGTGGAATTATTGACGCATCTCTGTGAAATTGGATTAGTCAAGTGATCGGAGAGAATTGGAGAGAATTGGAGAGAATTGGAGAGAATTGAAGAAATGGTGGACCATCGAGTCACAAAAAAATTGGATGAAAAAAAAATCTCAAAAAGGCCCGAGGCATTACCAGCTTACACCTCAGCGCATTAAATTCCTCATTTTTTATTTAGCGCACAAACACGAAAGATCTGCCATAATATGATAATAGTTGCAGGTAGGCAAGAGGCACTCCCCGGGATGTTAGTGGCACCTCTCTCCTATTTCTGTTGTATTAAAAATCCGGGGTAGAAAAAAAAAAAAGGAGTAGGATATACCTGTAATCCACCACCAATGATCATCAGCATCCCATGAAACTCTCGTCGCGTCTCTTCACGAAGTGAAAGGCGAGCTCGTAGATGTTTTATAAAATTTTGTGATTGTGTTGGATGTAGTGAAGCGGTTTGGTATCACATGGATGGAGAGGGAAGTTGATGGTAACAAGTAGTTTGTACCGCTATGCACGCTGTCTGGGAGTTTTTGATGTTGGTGATGGTGTTGGTGGGTGGTGATGGTGGATACATGAGGCATTATGTACATGAGAGAACACCGGCAAGGTCCCCCGCGCCTTACCTGGGGGTCACAGGTCGAATCACCCACTCCCACTTGGTTCTGTGGCCCTTCACCTCTCGCTTTGCACTCGGGTATTCACTCGGTATTTTATTTTTGGTGGGGGGAATTGTCTATGTGCATCTTTGTAAATGATTTCAAGAGGTAGCTGTGGAGGGGCCCCAGTCGTACCTCAATCCTCAACAAATATCCAACAGCAGGATCTTCTCTTGGGGACTTATGCCCAGTCCTAGGCTATCAGGGGGGAGCCTATTCGGTTATCCTCTTCCGGGACTCATCTTTAATTAGCCACTTGTTATTTATGCTTTCGATTGATTTAGTAGACGCGATTTCTTCGGGATTATTCCATTATTGAGAGGTAATTATTCGATTCAATGGGAGAAATTGAATATTTCGATTTTTGCGTTTTTAATGCAGCGTAGTTCGTGATTTTATAATGACAGGGGACTTATGGTGATTATTAATTATTTATTGGAATCGCACGTTTGAACGATTTGCAATTTTCTATTGATAATCATCTGAGGTTTTGGTTTATTTTTTGGTCTGTCGATTGTTATCATGACTTGGTGCGATGGGGGAATCATAAATTATCCGGACTTCGGAATAAACTAGGGTGTTCCAATTTTTTAAAATGCTGAAGAGAAAGAAAACAATTGTTGGAGTATCGAATATGTCCGGACAATGTTAAATTACTATCTATCCTACTTTCTCTCTATTCTCTACTTCTTGTGTATTGAGGGGAAGAACAAAAAAATCGAGGAGTGAAGCTGGAGTCAGGATGAGTGAAATGTCACTTATTTTTTATTTATAAATATCGCAAGTGGGAATATCGATATTCGAAATTCAATGTTCATTCCATGGAGTTCTATTTCCAAAAATGGCTGTCATCAAGAATTTCAGATGAATTACGTAATCAATCAATTTATTTAATAAATTTTTCACTCGTCGACTGGAGGGGGAGACAAAAAAAAATAGTCCAATACGACAAATTCGTAATCGAAATTTAATTTCGATTTCTAAATGAAAAAAAAATTGTTTTCAAACGATTGCGTTTTTAAAAAATTCTCGAAATTTGATTTTTGGAAAATCCGGAAAGAAACTAAAAACGGAAAAATAAATTTTCCAGGGATTTGAGAGGAAATCATCTGATAAATTTTCAAAAATCAGTGGAAAAAATTCGCGTGAGAATTTTTTCTCCTATCATGGGCAGGTGCTGAAGCGTATATTATCGTGACAGATGGCATGTGAAATATTGTACTGACAGGGGTGTAATGAAGGTACTTACCTAACCGATTCAGCGAGAACCAAATGATGGCAATTTTTTTTTTTCAGACGAATAGGAAAAGGTCGTACCCAATCGTACGCGTCTTGCGCATCCAGGCACGTTACTCGTATAACTTGGGAATTAACGTTAATTTCTGAACTCAGTAACATACGCATGATGGAAACTAAACGTAAGATGCAACAGGCTATGGGTTTAAATTTGAAAAATCTATCGGTGGAGAAAGTTCGGTGTGTCTGATATATTCCAGTCCTGCGTTTCTGCATGTCCTCGTGGGACAGAATCATTTTTGTTATCTCTATCTGCTTGCCAATTTTTATATACCTCCTGCAGCTGTCGGTGTACCAAAGGCACACCATATATTCTGGTTTATCCAACTCCACCAAAATGAATTCATTAACCGGAATTTTTAGATTTCCGCAGGTTGATACTTCCTGGACAGCTTTGGTCATGGATTTCACAAGGTGTTGCTGTATCATTAATTACGACCACTAAAAATCCGTTGTGATATAAAACGGATACATCGTGAGTCTAATAAAATTACACAATTATTTTAAATAAGAGTGGATATTAAATATAATGTACAGAAAATATTAAAATTGTGATATAATGAAAAATTATCATGAGGATATTTTTTTTGGGGAAGCATTTGTCGAAGTCATGAATATCAAATAAATTATCGTCTATTCATACTCAGAAAAATTGAATTTTCATTTTTCATTGCGGAAACTTTGCTTGATAGATTAATTACTCACTTGTGACATCCCAAGTAAATTAATAATAACCTTTAAAGAACGTCCCCCCAAAAAAAAAATATTTTTCGACTTGTGTTTTTATTCCAGCTCTTCACAAAAATTTAATTGAGGATTAATTAAAAATTGAATTGAAGATGTTCGAAGAAATGAATTTGATTGATAAATTCCTAGTTTCCACTGAATTTAAAATGAGTGGATGAATTTAATTATTTTGGAAATGATTTAGGTGATTTAAATTTCAAGTGACACGTTGATTTCACTGATGACTGGCTTCTCTTGAATTTGTTAATTGGATTATCCAACGTTCCGAATTCTCGGTGATGGAATGATGACCGATATGGATTTGAAATGAATGTCTGGAGAAGACAACGGGAACAAAACGGTTCATGAGACGACGTAACGTACCAGCTCCAGGTCCCAAGAGGTGAGAGTCTTTCGTGGCTTGGAGACCCGCACCGGGTCGATTCGTCCTCCTTCTTTCCTCATCTCCTTCGGTCGTGTTGCCGAGAGCCACTAGCTTTCCCTTTCACACGCGGTGCTAATAGCCCCCATCGTTTCCCGATCTATCGGTGGAATCGAGAGGTGAGGCCTGAGAAGGAGAACAACTTGGATTAGATCCGATGAGAGTGCAACAAGGAGAATGAAGGATGGAGTGAATGAAAGGATTCGTATCATACCATATGGAAGAGAACAACAAGACTAACCAGAGATGAGCAAACACGTGGTTACCGAGAGCTACACTTTATGGTTGAATTACAATCTCTGCATGTATGGGTCCAGTGCACTCTGACTCCAGGAGACGCTCTGCCGCGTTGACTTTCCACCTCGATATTATCTACGTTCAATATATTCCCGAGATAATGCCAGATATATTTTATTTTCCTTCAATGAAAATCCACCCCGGGAAAATTCTCCTTGCGCAATTACACTAGAATATTTTTTTTTCACAGTAACTGAATTTTTTTACTGGAATTTCTCTTGGAAATATATTTTGAAAAACAATTCTCCGTGAATTTATCAATCGAAAAGGGAATTAATCGGATAATTATATTTGATTTGGAGAAATCTGGGGATTTTTTTGGGGAGGATAAATTGATCTTTCGAATCCTTTGAAATCAGTCGAATTGATGAGGATCGAGTGATTTATTTTTCCCGCATGACGCCATTAATTTTATTCACCAGAGAAAATCCTCGATTCATTACAAATCGCGTAGTGGGGGGAGGGAGGGTGGGGGCTTCATTAGTAGCAAGAGTGTAATTATCATCGGTTTAAAGACCCCAATCAGAGGCCCAATCACTCAATAATTTCATAAGAATTTTAAAACTAATTGTTATAAATCTTCTCAGGACTTTTTGAATGATTTAAATTCAATGATTTATCATCAAGTCAATTGATTTACGGTTTTACAAATCGTTTTTATAAAAAAAAACAAACTTTCAGGAATTGTTCAACAGTAATTAACAAAAATAATTGCAACATGATTTTTTTTTTAGAAAAACCGAATATTTTCCGTTGATTTTTAATGTTTAAATTGAATTAATGGTTTTTCCACGAGATTGGTTAATTATTCGGGGATGTTTATTAAATATTAATGAATTTTATGTGTCAATAGTTAATAAATCTGATAGGTTTTTTTTTTAAATAATAAGCACCGGTTGAGTTTGAAATCCATTCGTTTTATGGTCTCAATATTCAAGAGAAATTATAAACAAAATAGATTTCAAATGGTTTATATATTTGGTACATCGATAATCGATAGTCGACACCTGAAATTCTGGTCGATCGTCAAGCAGATGACGCGCTGGGCTAAACACGATTCATCAATTATTAATTATTAATGCTCCTCTGCAAAAAAAAAATTAATTAAGCGATTAATTCGATGCAAATATGAGGCTACTGAGTAATTAGTTAAAACCCACGAATTCTCGGGTAGAATTGGATCAACTTAATGAATTAATTATTCGATTTCGGCTCTCGTTATTGTGTATTTCAATTTTATCTGAATTTCAACTATTGAATTAGCGGATCGTGCGGTTATATTTCACCAGCGGGAAATTACTTCTGATTTAATTAAGTAATTACAGGAAAATCCATATGTTTTAAATATTGATGTTAATTACGCGGGTGCTAGAACTTTTTTTTCTTGTGTATATCGACCAGTTATTTTCGAATTTCGGGTAGTCCCGTGACTTCTTCAATTCCTCATCACTCATGAGTTAAATATTAACATCCTAGATACTTTCTCCAGGAGAAAGAAACATTTTTTATATAAATACGAGAAAGAGAAATGAATGCGTTGGAAACAAAGCTGTGGAATTACCTCTACATGCGGTTCTGTGAATCAACGGAGGTGTGGCATCAGTTATTCCCCATTTATTTATTTACAAAAACCCACGATTAATAAAAAATGAAATTAAATCCCCCTACCAAATGGTTACACGTAAATAAATAAAATAGCGTTTTCCCCATCCGCAGGGGAAAATATTTGAATGTTTAAAAATTTTTTTTATGAATATTCAAGGGCAGTATTTATGGAATTATTTAAACAATTCACGTATCGCACGCGAAATGACGGGATATTGTCACTTTGCCATTTCTCTTTTCCGCGTGGTCATTAATAATGGAGAAATAAATTGTCTAGGATAAAACGATGTACCAGCTCTGCCCACATGGTCAGGCATTTCTATCCACCTCATCCTCAATGCATATTATTCATATGTATATGTTAATGTAAATAAAACTGGAGGAACTGGCCTCGTGCGTTTGTACTTGTCCTGTAACTTTCGTTCTCGAAATTGTTTTATCCGCACGTGAATTGCGCAATCAGTCACTTTTGGCCCAACCCTGTAGTTTATTTATTAAAAATAAATAATGTTAATATTTTTTCATTGAATAAAAAAATACAGGGCAGTGGCCGGAATTTTTTGGACGACTACAAAGAAAGATATAACACGAGCCTGTCGTATCCTTGGACATTCGACCTTGTTTAAATCAAGTTATCAATTTGTCATTTTATTATTCAAGTGATTGGGAATTATAAAAATGCAGCGATTTTATTATAATTTATTCATCGATTTATTTTAGTATCACATTGAAAGGATTTTGAATCTTTCGTTTTCCGTGGAACAGAAATTAAAACGAAAAGCTGAAACATTTATATTATGTAGATAAAATTACATAATAATACATAATATATACATATTTAGAGATGAGCTCTCGATTCTGGGATTTTTTTTATAAAAATGCGGAGGACTCGTGGTAAAAGAAAATTATTTTATTGTAATAATAAAAAGTCTTCGTGTAAAATTAATGAAAAAAATTGACAATAGGGTAGTGTTTTTTAAAAATTGTATAATCAATGGATTATTTAAATATTTCATTACATCACTGGGTCATGCCTTTCGATATCTAGACGCATTTCGAATGTTCATTAATTTATTTTTCGAAACTATTGAAGTCTGAAATTTTTATACTCTTACCGCATCATTAAATTTTCGAGTGTAATTAACTCCTGCTGAAATGAGATTATTATAAACGAATGATTACCTCAAAAAATATGTAAAAGTATTCTGTAACGGTACTTTTAGTTGGCGACAATGAATTTTAATAAAAAACTACGAATTGCCGTTTTGGCCGTGAAACTTTCTCATTTTCATCGGAAGAAAATCGGTAATTAACATTTTTGAATGCGCGTGGGCAACTCTCGGAGGAAATAACCGGAGATTCTCTCATCTCCATATCTCATCTGTCACGGGAATACCACTAAATGGAATATCTACAGGGATATCGAGTTGAGATCAAGGGCGGCATCATCATTATTCTCACCAAAAACTTATCGTTGCTCTCCTGGATCACCTCGACTAGTTCCTACTTCATTAATAAATTTTTCTTGAATTCACTATCTAAATGCATCCTCTTCACAGCCAGTGGTCAACGATGAGCAACAAAACTCATTGATTTGCCACTTTCTAAAAGGACTCCGAAGACCTTCGAAAACGCCTTGCGGCAACACTTTTTTTCCTCTCGAAACATTTATTTTTAGATTTTATTCTACACACTGATTTTACACTAAATCCATCGAAATTTCAATCATCAGAATTTTTAATTACCCGAACATGAGATCAGCTTCAATTAAAAAATATTAATGAGCACCAATTTTCGCCTAAACTCCATTCTAATTTTTCATAAATTTCAATTTCTCTTCAATCCATTTTAAAACTCGAAGGGATGAAATTCCCGCGGGAATTTTATTGAAAAAATTTTGCATTGGAAAAATAAAAATAAAAAAATAGATCGTCAATAATCCCGAGAAAATCGGTGAATCCCCGAACGAGAATCCGCAAAAAAGTAAAACAAAAAAAAAAATTGAGCAATAAATCATAAGGATACAAACCGAAAGAGATAAGAGACTCGCGTGCATTTCAGTGATGTACCTCGACAGCGAGTAATTTCCAAGTATTGCATAAACCCTATGTACACACATTACACCCAAGTGCAAAAAAACAGGTCCTTGCGGTTGGCTGCCTAAAGCAAGCTCCAACCTTTTTTCTCCCTTTCTCCTTCCTCCAATCGATTAAATAATTATGATGATCATCAGTAGCATCAGGTGAGCATGAGGATATTTTATTAATTTTTCTCATAATTTTTTTTTCCCCTCGCAATCACGTGCACAGTGAGGTGAACGAGGAAGAGCACGGATGACCCCACTCGCCTCCATTTTCAATACGAGTGATAAGGCATATCAATTGCGGATCAATTGGTATGTTAAACTGATGAAAAAAATATCTCAACCGTCACCATGACCTAAGCCATTAAATCTCAACACTTGTCGTCGTTGAAGCGTTCGTAACAGTTAACTCGTGGTGGGGTGTACATTGCGGGTGGAACACGTGCCACCACCACGCGATAATGATAAAACCTTGAAGTCTTTATACAACCCAATGGTTCATTCTCCGTTACGTGGGTGGATTAACCAGGGTGAGTGACAATCCACCAAGGGGATTATCGTAACACATAATTGAGCGTGTAATTGCAAAACGAAATCATAGCCTTGAATTTCCTTGATTATTCATTCATTCAACAATTCATTCATTGATTAATTTCTCAAGCCAATGAAAATTCTCTCAATCCTTCGAAAATTCATTTTACATACACTTTAGATTTTATCAATAAAAACTACACTCGTTACTTTACATTGTCGATTTATTTTTTCAGTGTAATAATTATTAATCCTTGAAGAATAATAATGGTTAATGAAATAAAATATTTATCATCCCCTAATAATAATACTCCACCCCAAATGGAGGAAACGAGCATCAAATAATTAATTACGATTTTTCATTACAAATTGACCGTCACGTCATAAATGAAAAAAAAAAAGAAATAAAAAAAAGAAAAAAAAAATCCTCTAGTCAAATCCACGCATCAAAAACCTGAAAAAATCCCATCGACCCCAAAACTTCTCCAAAAATTCCACTCAATTAAAAAATTCCCCAAAACCCCATCACCACCTCAAAAAATCAAAAAAAAAAAAAAAAAGCTCACACGTGCATTCCAATCCCGTCCAACAAAACCATCCCGATGAAAGAGTCTTTTCGTCGAACATTTATGAATGAACCACACCATCGTCCCACATCCATTTCCCCTACATTTTCATTCTACCATTTTTTCCAACAATTTTATCTCGTGAGAAGCAAGAGGGAAAAAAAATGTAAACGTGTCATGTTCACCCCCACGTTCCCCACCCCACCCCCATCGACATCCGGTGGGTGGTTAAATGACGTCATCAATGTACGTCATGACCGATGAACGGGGTGAGGGGTGTTACCCCAGTTACCACTTGGAGGTGGTGGTGCGCGTGCTGGGTCCATCGATCCAGGAGTCCAACTTTCCCCTGCACCTCCTCCATCGACTAAACCCGTTGCCTCATCCACAACCACCTCACCCACCCCCTCCCTCCCTATCCAACATCTTCATGACGTCAAATCAATGACGTCACCAGGGCCAACCGTTCGCTTACACACAGTACGGTTTTAATATAGCGGTGAACACCGCGCGCTCCGGAGTCAGTTACGCGGTGGCCGGCCTTACGTGCGGATCTAATATTTAATCTAAAAAACAATAAGATAAAATAACAAAAATAAAGAAAGAGGAGGAGAGATAAAGTCGAGAAATCAAGTCGGCCCATCCGTGAGAGAAAAATTTGTGAATTGAGTGAATGTCAAGTCAGTTCACCAGAGCTGTCAAATTTTGTGATGATCGGTTTATGGATCGGTTAATGGAGGACAATGGTTTATTGATTTGTGGATTGATTAAATCGACAGTTACCGGTTAACATCGACGAGTTTGAATTGTAAGTAGTTTCTTCGAGAGTTATGGAGAAATGATGGAATTATGGAATTATGGAATTATGGAACCCAGCACTATCACGAGTTGTTGAGAGTTTCGTTGATAAGCACGATGTAACAGTGTTCTCCAATCCTTTACCCTTGACTATTGATGGTTGTTGGTTTTTTTGGTTGATTCGATGAATTGTTGAAAGATTGGGAATGTGATTCTGATGATTCTGAGCACGTGGTGAGAGGTAGATATTCCCTGAGCACATCCTGACACCATTATCACCTGGTTATTTAGTATTTTCTGAAATTGATGAGTTTTTTATTGAAAGCACAAGTAGTTTATTGGTTGTACCAGTAACGAGGTGGATACGTATCGTCGAATGTAGGAATACCTTGGGGAAGTGGCAGATTTGGCCGATGGAGATGATAACAGGAAGTGAATGACTGATGACTCTCTGAAGAATAACTTGGAGCAAGTGTTGGGTGTTATTGATCCATCGGTGGATTTAATCGTGTGGTTTATCACACGGTGTTATCTTCTTGGATACGATAAAGGGTGAAGAGTTGGCCGTATGCGAGTACCAAGGTCAGAGGTGTGGAACCAGAGGATTTACAGTAATCAGGAGATCATCGTCAACGATCGGGTCATCAATGCCATTTGGAGGGATCCAACATCACCACCAGCGACTCTGGCAGGTCGGTTGTGTCTCACGTCAACAAATATATCATAAGAGAATTAAAATGAAAATTCTCGGATTTATTTAGTCAGCTTTCATACCCTCTATGATCCTTCAGTGTTTAATGTGGATTAGACGTTTTATTTTGTTGATTATTTTGTAATCATTGGACTGTTTTTAATCGTCAATCGAGTTAACGTTTTTATTAAATGTCATCTTCATTATTATCCTGATGATGGATTTATTTATCGTGTAAGGGCAAACTCTTCGGGTATGAGGGACATTCAGGTGTTTATCGTTTGAAGGTGAATTGTTCAGAGGATTATTTCGGTGATTATTTATTGATAAAACAACGAGGTTCAAGGGAGTGCTAATATGCGTACTGTCAGTGATTCGGCTGGAACTAAAACAACTGTTCAACCCTCCACTGGGGCTGGTGGGTTGAGGGCTAGCGTTGGGGATGATGTTGATGAGTGCACTGTTGCTGCTCATGTTGGCCCCAGGAGCATTCATCATGGTATTGTTTATCCGGTCAGCAATCGTGTTGGTTTTGCTGATAGCAACAATAATCATGATCATCATAGGAATCTTGAGAGTCAGGAGCAGGGACATAATCCTGATGATGCCTGGACAAAGTGTAAGTTTTGGAATTTTCTAACGGTCACTGCAGGCATTGATCATTGATCATTCAGGACTCTTTCCGCCTCTTGGCCCATCCAAATTTATTTACCAACAATTAATTAGATAATTACTTTCGAGAAATATTGATGATTAAAGATTGAACTGCCTATTGGAGTCGAGCCATTGGCTGTTGGTATAATTGATGAAATTAAATCGGGGGAAAAATTAATCACCTGATCGCCTTGAAACAATTGTCAAGGTTGAAATTGAGAAAAAAAAAATTCGAGAAATGGGAGAAGGTAGTTTTAATGAAATGAATAAAAAATGTCCTGTACACTCCTCGCGCCCTCGACGTGCCAGGGGCCAGGATGTCGACGACGGTGAGAGGTTTTTACCGTTATAAAATCGTATGTAACATAGACAACTGCTGGATACATGCATTTGCACATACCTACATAAATTATTACTATGTATATTCTAAGAAGCAGGAGAGTGACGGTGGTCATGGTGATGGTGCATGTGGTGAAGGCATTTTTATTTATTTTCTATCTTTATACATTAGAAAACAAGTTTGTCGGACTTTTCTTTTTCATTTTTATTTACACATTTTTACACTTTTTTATGTTTGCTGTGGTGGGTGGCTCAGATGGTGGTCGAGGGACGATTGAGCATGCAGAGTCATTGAATTAGATTATCACCAACTCATGCATTTGGAATTATCCGATAAGGGGTGGGGGTGGTGTCGCAAGGGGAGGGGATGTGTACTTACTTACCTCGGGCTTCTTTTTTTTTTTATTCATTTTTTTTTTATTTATGCGGATATCTTTCTCTTTGTGGCGGCATCGATTTATCCACGAGTCACGTGGACAGGGTTTCCAGTAGCGTAATGTCTCGAGTTAGATAAAGATTATAATTGGGAGGTTGAGGTAATGGGGAGGAGTGGTGAGAATCCGAGATAAGTGAAGCATTGACAGTTCTTTAAATTCCTCCCTGAATATCATTTAAGCCTATTTAAAATCTCGTGGTAAATGTCAGAAAACATTTCCAGACAAGTGGATTTTTTTACCCGCGAGTTTTCACTCGATACCTCAAAAACCAAGAGAGATGGCGATATTTTCATAGATACCTTTTTTGTAGCTCTCACTTTTCTCTGTAAATAATGTTACCGCTAAAAAATCGCTGTGCCCCTTCAATTCTTAGATATTGGCACCGAAAGAAATTCACTTTTTTCTATTTTCTGTTTTTGAAAAAGACCTGTTAGTAATTTCAGTAAAAATTTCAGTGGCAGAATTTTTATGTATTTTATATTTGTTTAATTATTTTGATAGTGGAGTCATGGATTTGGGAAGACGGAATGAGTGCCAAATTGTGACAAATATACGGGAGCGTCCCCGATTGACTGCTGTACCTTATTTTACAGGAGTAAACGGTTAGGATGGACCGGATAAATATAGGCTGGCAGGCTGCCTGATTGGATCCTAGGGTTTTATTCTTCATTTTACTTTTCTTCTCAAAGGGGAATAGATACATGCGGATATAGATGGTTGCGTACCGTAATACCTCGACTGGTCACGCACCTGTACCTTTTTATCATTTTTTTTTTGCGCAATTTCTAGTTGATTGAGAAAAATTAAATCCACTTGAATCCATTAGGTGTTCAATTGATAATTTATTAATTGTTCAATCAATTTTGCATTCTGGCGTTACGCATGGGCTTCCTGAATTTTCTCTCTGCATTTTCTTCCCCATTTTTATCACTTTTCTCTGTCTTTTTATTTTTACAATCGCGCGATTAAAATTACGCGGACATCTGCCCACCTGGGATAGGTATGTTTCTCGATTAGTCATCGGCTCGAGACATTTTTGGCTCCAACCAAGTGTCTTAAGTATCCGGTATTACAATGTTCTTGACGTTGGCATCAATGAATTACGATAATTCACGTCAAGAGTTGTTTGTGGGTGTTTAAATAAAAAATCATTTAGCCTCTCTAAATAAATAAATAAACCCAATAGAAAATGCCTGAGCATTCAGCGAGAATTTTCCGTGGATTCTCGATTTTTCCAAATTTATACACCCACCGCAATTTTGGACTTGATTTTTTTCCGCCAATCCTCTTCGCGTTTCTTTTTTTTTTCTTTCAACTCCTCTCATTCCCAGATGATTCCACTGTGCTGTAACTCTTGCATGCCGGTGCATCATCCTCTCGCCTCATTCCCCTTTTTTCATCAACTAAAAATAAAAGTGGAAGGAATAAACCACTGGCTTCCGCGGATGACGTTCTTCCTAGAGTCCAAACTGCATTGTTTGCGATGTCAAGCGAGACTAAATTTATTCTGCAGTCCCCGACTGCTTGGCTGAAGCACAAAGACCTGTGTCACGTGCCGATAGGTTTTTTCGAGGTGAAAATAAAAAAGACAGGATTTTCCATTGACTGAACTGGACACGAAGAAAATTCCAAAATTTCAAAATTCATCAAAAGCATTTCTAAACATTCAACATTCTTATTATTTATTCAAATAAATTTTATTTACAAATATTGTACTACCTTTAGATCAAAAACAGTAATTTTAGGTTTTCAGATTAAATCTTTTAGATCAGAAACTCATTAATTACTCGTAATTATAATTCCTGGATTTGGTCCAGGAGAAAATTTTCTCCTCGCAAAAAAAAAATCACTGCTGATTAATTAATTTATTTAATTTGATAAAAAAAATTCAATTGGCAAGAATAATTTTTTCTCGGTACATCCACCGACTGACGTACTAACTTCACAGGCATGTGTAATAGATCAGCTGCAGCTAAAATAAGTCTGATAACCCTAGTCGATACTCGTTAGCTCATCAAATCCATAATACAGTAGTTTACCTGTACAAGACAGGCTATCTGGATATCATGTCTATGGAGAAGTGGAACGACCTCGTGATAACGTGAAAATGAAGAGAAAAGAGCGACTTCCGTAATGAAAAAAATAAATGACGAGTGGAGAACATGTGGAGGTTCATGAAATCCCCAAATGCTCGATTGTTTTGATGGATTTCGTGCAGAAACAATCAAACCAGTACTCATGTGCTATCGACGTTCAATCCAAACCTCTCCCGATGTCATCAAATATTCAGGTGATTCCTGTCGACGTACCAAGTAGAATGGCGAATTACCCAACCCAAATGAGGATTTTCTTGCAATTACACAACGATTTTTTGCCTGAAAATTCCGATTCCTTGCCTGGATTGTCAGAAAATTATTTTTCCTTGAGGGAATTGAAGAGTTAGAGGTGGAGTGCCGATATTTGATTAATTAATGTGACATGAGATGTCCGTGATAATTCCTGATTTTTTTACCTCATGGTGAAGAAATGAAAAAATGAAAAAAATGAAAAAATGTGAAAATGAGAAAGTGAAAAAATGAAAAAATAAGAAAATGAAGAAATGAAAATATGAAGAAATTGAAAAAATGAAAAAAGGAAGAAATGAAGAAATGAAAAAATGAAGAAATGAAGAAATGAAGAAATAAAAAAATGAAGAAATGAAGAAATAAAGAAATAAAGAAATGAAAAAATTGAAGAAGGATAATTTTGTATACATCAGACGTTCCCAATCGATAATAGGTCATACCGATTTCAACGGTACGTCAATCACCTGAAATGTCCAAAATAAATCATAAAATCAGAAAATGAAAATTGGTTACCGAAGGATTTTTAATGCCTCTGGGTTATCTCGATCTCTCTAAACAGCTTAATATCAAAGTGGCATGTTGAGAAGACAAGAAGACATTAGGGTCATACGAGCTAATAAGATACTATTGAAAATGCCTGGGGATCTGTAGCCAGAGGCGATGAACATTCATCCACCGAGACAACTGCAGCTGTACATTTTATATTTCTTCTGGGTCATGAAAATCAGGCACGTGGTTCCCTTCTTTTTCACTTGGTCATGGATGAATCCAGGAGAAACCGCCCAGAGATGAAAGACCGACGAAAAAAAAAAATTTGATTGATTTTTGAATCGATCGTACGGCATTCGACCAGAGGATTCAATTAAATCACCTGAATATAATCAGATCGATTCAAGATAAATTTACAAATTGATTTATAACTTTCACAAAAAAAAAAGATGGAAACATTAATTTTCCCCAGTTCTATCCCAACTTATCCGATTTGTTTCATAATTTCTTCATTAAATTAGCGTAACAAGGGGAAGCGATAAATAGGGAAAACGTGCATGCGGGTGAAAATGTGTGGGAGAACAGCTGAGAGTTTATCGGTGGATGAGGTGTGGGTGGGATCGGGGGGGGACCGACGTTGGCGCGACACTGGCCCGACGCTGGCGCACCGTCCAACGCTGACGTCACTGTTCCACCCCCCGCCCGTTATCGAGCCGTTACACTAGGACGTCATAACC